ACACACACACACACACACACACACACACACACACACACACACACACACACACACACACACACACACAGCAGGGTAGCTCATCGTCAGTGTGAGACGTGATGCTCCTGAAGTGTTATAGATCTGTGGACATGATTATTTATTGACAGGAACACACAGGTTGTGGTTTTATTGTGTGTGTGTGTGTGTGTGTGTGTGTGTGTGTGTGTGTGTGTGTGTGTGTGTGCGCGTCAACAGGGTGATCACAGAGGAATACAAAGTTCCTGACAGGATGGTGGGCTTCAGTGAGTACCCCTCTCTCCAGCTTCTCTCTGTTTTATCTTCTGAGACGTGAAAAATAAACGATGTTCTTTGAACGTTTCCATCCAGTTATCGGTAGAGGAGGAGAACAGATCACCAGGATCCAGAACGAGTCGGGCTGTAAGATCCAGATCGCTGCTGGTGAGTCAGTACCTCCTGGAGTCGAGCCTTCAGAACGGTTGGTTCTCCTGAAGGTTCTACACTCACGTTGGTCTAATGATCTGTGTTCCTGCAGACAGTGGAGGCCTGATGGAGCGGCCATGTTCGCTGACGGGAACTCCAGAGTGCATCGAGTGAGTTTCACTCAGTGGTTCTGTTCAAAACAAGGTCCAGACCCAGTCAGGTTCTGGGTCCGGTCCTCCTGCAGAGACAGGGAAACAGGTTCATAACAAATGTTTTCCAGGCAGGCGAAGCGACTGCTGGTCCAGATTGTGGAGCGGTGTAGAAACGGTCCTGGCTTCCATGGTGACGGGGAGGGCGGGACCGCCGTGCAGGAGATGCTGATCCCAGCCAGCAAGGTGGGGCTGGTGATTGGTCGAGGAGGAGACACCATCAAACAGCTGCAGGTAAAACTCTGAGTCCCAAAGAAACTTAAAGATGGGTCTAAAAAAGGTTCTAGATCAGGTGAAAGGTTCTAGATCAGGTGTAAGGTTCTAGATCAGGTGAAAGGTTCCAGATCAGGTGAAAGGTTCTAGATCAGGTGAAAGGTTCTAGATCAGGTGAATGGTTCCAGATCAGGTGAAAGGTTCCAGATCAGGTGAAAGGTTCTAGATCAGGTGAAAGGTTCTAGTTCAGGTGAAAGGTTCCAGATCAGGTGAAAGGTTCCAGATCAGGTAAAACTCTGAGTCCCAAAGAAACTTAAAGATGGGTCTAAAAAAGGTTCTAGATCAGGTGAAAG